TTGTATATCCTTGGCCCAAGGTGTGGCCCTGTTGGAGTAGGTGTGTCACTGTGGGTGTGGGCTTTAAGACCCTCATCCTAGCTGCCTGGAAGCCAGTATTCTGCTGCAGCCTTCAGATGAAGATGTAGAACTCTCAGCTCCTTCTGCATCATGCCTGTCTGGATGCTGCCATGCTCCCGCCTTGATGATAACGGACTGACCCTCTGAACCTGTAAGCCAGCCCCAATTAAATGTTGTTCTTATAAGAGTTGTCTTGGTCATGCTTTCTGCTCACAGTGGTAAAACCTTAATAAACACACAGTCCTGTATATTTTTAACCTCAGTATTATATACATGGACTAATACAATGTGAGTGTGTTTATTGTTTAGGGGATAAAGTCAAGGGGAAAAGTCTGTTCACGTTCATTACAAATACAAAATTTAAAAATGTCCATAGGGTGAGATGGCTCAGGAGTTAAGAGCACTGGCTGCTCTTCCAGAAAAACAGGGTTTGAGTCTCAGCACCCACATGGCAGCTAACAACCATCTGTAATTCCTGTTCCAGGGGATGCAACTCTTTCTTCTGGCCTCTGAAGGTACCAGAAATGCATGCAATGCGAGACATACATGCAGGCAAAAATATTCACACACATAAATTTAGCATAAGGTTGAAATGTAAGAAAGTTTCCATCTGTGGTTGGTTGACTCCACAGAGACCCAAGGATATAGGGGTCTAATTGGGAAAAAAAATTATCTTGATGAGATATTTGTGATCAGAGATGGTAATTTTGGTCTCAGTATCCCCAACCCCCAGGTATTGAACTTAGGTCTTACAGACGTTAGGCAAGGGCTCTACCACTGAGCCACGGCCCCCAGCCCCATCATCTTCTGCCCACCCCTCCAACAACAGCCCTTTGGGCAATCTAAAAGCTCGGCAGTTCTATGCTAGACACTGCATTTTCTCCGGAATGTTCAGCCCTGTCAAATCTAGAGCTTGGGTAGAATAGCAACTTCCAGCTTTCCTGGTCACATGGTTATAGTATGATGAGCCTCCTCTCTGCATCTGAAGCTCTGGTTTCCCCAGACAGCTTCACTCTTAGTGAAGTTCTGGCACCACCACCCCTTCTGCAGAGTCTCCCAAGGATAGACATATGTGCCCAGGTTGAGGATAACCAGGCAGGAGGGCAGCTGAGAACTCCCCCCCAACCCCCCGTGTGGCCCAGGCACCTTGCCCATTCCCACAGAGCCCTGGTGTTAGCCTCTCCCAGGGAAGATTCTAGGTTTTATTTCTGATGCTTCCCATTTACTGAGCTAGCGCTCAGGGCATCATATGACAGTCAATGCTCTGTCCACTCAGCTATGCTCCTCTCCCCCAGGGTTCATTTGATGTTCCCTTGACTGCCTTCTTGCCAGGCTTACGACTACACAGTCTGCCAGGTTTGTAGGACTGTACGATTTGGAGTCTCCCTTGCCGCTCTCAGGCATATTCCAGGAAAAAAGAAACGACCTTGGGCTACAACTACTGTTGTTGTGGGAGTCTGGCTGGATTATGAGGGGGCATCCAGGGGGTGGATTTTGGACCTAATCACCTGCTGTTTCCAGCATTTACTATGACAGGGCCTGGCATCGAGTGGTTGTTCACCTAACACTTGTCAATCAAACAGATGGTGAACGACTGAACGAGTGATGGTTGTGCAGACGCAGCATCTCTGCCCATCCAGTAGTTCTTAAAGAAGACCTTACCTGGTGAGCAGCAAATCCCGAGGTGGCCTCGGTGCCTTCTATTCCTTGCAATATGAGGAGGAATTTACACTCTAGTGCCGCCCATTTATTACTCAGACGCCTTTCAGATTCGTTTGTGGGCTGGCAGAGTTTTCACTCATTGAATGTTTATGAAATTGAATGCAGGCCCATGAGTCAAAACAAAACTCCCACCTGACTCAACAGACCATACTTCAGATTAGAGAGGATGCTTGTAAAATGTTGGGCCCAGCCGCTGGCAGGGAGAGGAGCTGGGTGAGAAGGCTGGCGCTGTGGGCACCTGTGTCCCTGCAGCCCTGTGGCTATATTTGTTAGATGAATGAATGGGAGAGGACTGTGTCACCTCCCAGAAGGTTCCAGTGTCTTGGTGGCAACACTCCAGAAATGACACAGCAGCTTGACACTCCTGTCCAGCAGCAACAGCCATGTGCACACGCTGTCAGGGGAGGGACAAGCGAGATTCCTGGAGATCCAGGGATGCTCTGCTGCTGTCCACACTCCCTTGATAAATCTGAGCTCATCTCTTCTCTTAAATGATGAGGGCCTCTAGGCTGAGTTCCGATAGGTTCCCCCACCCCCCCCCCCCCACTCCCCTCCAATAAATTCCTTTCAGCAACATCAGAACCAGCTCTATAACAGTCGGATGGTGGCACAGCCCGCCCTCCCTCCAACATTCAATGGCTCTCACTGCCCACAGGGCCTGCACCTCTTCCCTGGCCTTCTCGGGTTTGTTCTCAGCCTTCCTTCCTAGCCTCAGCTGTCTTATCTGATCTTCATGATCACTTTATTTAGCTCAGTTCCTGCTATTTCTTTGGCCTCAAGTACCTCTCCCCACATCCTGAGCCCACTTCTTAGTCCTGAAGGCCCAGCTCATACTCCATCCTGACCAGAGCAGTCCCTGAGGGCCAGAAGGACTCAGCCACTCTGCTCATCACTACTGTACATTTCCCATATGCCTATTTCTGTCCTCTACCTTCTTCTTAGTTGACAATGCAAATAAAAGGTATTGGTTAAAATTAGTGTCCATCTTCGCCCTGTGCATTGGACTCTAGGTTCTTGTTTGTTTGTTTGTTTTGCCAGGGGGGGTAATCTCATCATGTAGCCCAGGCTAGCTCCATCTCTGAGATTATGGGTATATACCACCACACCTGGCTCAATTGTTTTTGAATAAGATGTAGAGCAGGACAAGTTAACCAAGAGAAAATGCACCTGTGTGTGCATTAGGCCTCTGCCCACAGTCCTGGCTAAGTCCCAGCTGCCTTCCCCATCTCCCTTCCCAGCTCTTGTCAGTTTATTCTCTCAAATCAACCAGCCCTGGCATCCAGGGAACATAATAACATAATCAATCTCTCTCTCTCTCTCTCTCTCTCTCTCTCTC